CGTTCCAGTGTCAGACTGTTCCACACAGCACACCAGAGCCCAGGCCAGACAGACAAGGTCTCCCCAGCCTGCACAGTCATGGAGGGGTCATTGGGCTCATGTCCTCTAGCCGCCTGCCTGGGTCAGAGGCTCGCGCATGGATTCCGGCTGCCAGCCCATAGCGCCTAGAGAAGCCCAGAGGTCCAGCCTGTCAGCATGACCCAGCCGGTGCCAGGTGACACGCAGGCAGCCGTCCTCAGCTGTTGAGACCCTGGGGCCGCGCCCTGAGTGAAAAGGGCTTCTGCCGGGCAGCCACTCACCTGCCTGGAGCTCCAGCACCGGCGGCTAGTGACTGTCGCACTGTGGGGATATTTTCCAGCCTGGTGCCCACAATAGTTACTATAAACAGGTGTTTAGTAACTGAGTCCCCGGGGCAGCGCGCACACCTCACACTTACAGCTCCCAGGGAAGGAGGAAAAGGAAAATTAACCATGCCCAGCCCCATGGCCAGTGACCCGCTCAGGAGGAGAGGGGTTTTCACCCCAGAATCCAAACCTCCTTTACCCGGCAATACCCTGACTGCGGGCAGAACTCAGCTGCTCCCAGGGGCACTAGCCACTTCCAGCCTGGAAACACAACAGCGAGGGAAGGGAATTAGCAGCTTTCCCAGCAGTCACAGCGAATTCACCACCACCAGCATTGTAGATTGAACTAGAGCTCCTCCACCAATCCAAACAGGAGCTCATTCCACCAAGGCCTGTAGTTGGGCGTACACCGCGGCCTCCTGGCCTCCGAAGCCAGGAATTAGCCTGGGCCTAGTAATTCCTGAGGTTCCTGGGGACACTGCAGAAGCCTTGTCCTTTTGGCGCCTGCCAGGGCTTGTTCACACCGTGTCTTTTGGAGAAGGGGCCTAGTTCTTCCTGGTTTGCATTGCAGTGTCCCCTACCCAGCAGTGCATGGCCCCCCCAGTACTCCCATTTTTATTTTTGGATTGTCCAGAGGCAACAGATCTTTCTACTACACAACATACGAGCAGCCAGAGAATCCAGGGCATCTCCTTTCCCCCTGTCCTCCCCAGCCCTGGCGGAGCTCTGGGACTCACCAGCCACCATGCACTGAAGCCTCCATGTCATGGACGTGCCCCGGTACTGGGCTAGTGGAAGGGGGCAGCGGGCAGGTCATGTGATTGCTCAGGGCAGGTGGTTGGTGTGGAGCCGACAGTAGAGCTCCCCCACTAGGATGCACCAGCCTATTTCAGAGAACCTGACAGCCCAGAGGAGCTGCAGGGAAGGGGCAGACGCTCCAAGCAGAGCCTCCTCCGGCCCCAGGAGCCCAGCCACTGGCCCTGTGCACTGCAAAGCCGAGTGCAACAGGCTGTAGCACAGAAAGCACCGTGTGCACCGTGCCCCCCTCCCCTGCTGACCTTTGCAGGCCTAGGGCGCTAGCTCTACACCACCCCAGAGTGGGGGAAGTGTGGGTGGAGCTGCCCCTCCCCACGGGGGTGTAGGACAATCGGGAAGTCCCAAACCAGAGCCATGACCACACTCCCCGCAGTAACACATTGCACAGCATGTGCCTCAGCAAGGATGGCAGCCACACGCTGCCCACGGCTCCTATGTACTACACAGAACATGTGAGCAGCCACTGCCGGAGAGGAGCCAGCTTGTGGAGCTAGAGATCAGCCCACCCCAGGAGCAAAGGAGCCGGTGCGGGGTTGGGGTCTGCCGGGTGAGACTTTCCCACCTGGTCAGGCGACAGGGAGAGCCAGCAAACCCACAGCTTCGCCCCGGGCTCGTCCACAGCATTTTACCCACTACTGGCAGGGGTAAGCCAGGGCATGTAGACCTCCCAGGGAGCTCCCTGGGCCTGGAACAGGCCAGTGCCCACGCAGGGGTAAACCAGCAGAACCATCACAGAACAGACTGGCACGTATGCCAGCGCTTCCTGTGGAGACGGCAGGTGCCCCCGGGGACCAAGTGTGCTGCAGGGACAGGGCGTAGCTGCCACCCTCCCAGCCCAAACTCCTCTGCAAGGCTGGAGGACAATGCCCGGCGTTTATCGCCCTCTGGTGCTAGACACTGCATGTGCCAACGGCAACCCAGGTCACCCACCGTTGCCAGGGAGGAGCTCCACAACCCACCCTCCAGGGAGCGAAAAGCCGCCTGCGCCGCTCCTTGCCGTGGTAAGGGCCAACCCAGCCCCGCCCCTCGCACAGGCCGACACCAGGTTTGGGTTCCCACGTTTATTGGAAAAGCGACAGTGCAGCAACAGATTCAGAGGGCTCCTCTGGGGGTTTTGAAGTTCATTCCCACCGTGGGCTGCGTGACCTGCAGGTTGGACAGGCTGCCGAAGTCCTGGAAGACAGAACACACCAGCTCACACAGCTCCTCAGCCTGCCACTTCCCCACTGCAGGCAGGGGGATTCCAGATCCAAGCGCTGCTCTGCGCCCCCTCCCCCAGCCTGTCTGCCCCAATGCCAGGGCGACTCCTCTAGCCTGTCCAGACAGGAGGCAGAGCCACAGGGCCTGGGAGAGGCAAGTGACACGGGTGGGGACACGTCCGTATCCACTGGCTGGGGCAGAGACGTGAGCGTTAGGCAGACAAGCCGGCACCTGGATTGAAGGCAATGTCACAGGCTCTCCCACGGTTTGTTTGCTTCCATAGCGAGCTGCGCTCTAAACCAGGGGCAGGAGGCCTTGAGCCCAGCTCTGTACAGTGCACACCCCAGTGGCGAGGGGGACGGATTCTGAGCTGCGTGCCGCACAGGGCAGTGCCGAGCGGGCAGGCAGGAGAGCTCGGGGAGCACCGGGCCGGACACTGGGCAGCGGAGGCGGATACAGAAGAGACTGCGGGTGGGTGAGGAGGGAAGAGAGCACGTGTGTCCATCCCCAGGGCCATGTCCTCACCAGGCGTCCTCCCCCTCCCCCGCTGCTGGGGCTTCTAGCAGGGGAGTGGCCCCGGTCATGCTCAGGCCCAGGCTCCGTACTGCTTGCCCACGCAGCACGGGGATATTTCTCTGGACAGCATAGAATGATCCCAACACAAAGGCCAGCCTGGCCCAGGTCTAACACTGTAAGCAAGTCCCCCAACAGCTGTTGCTAGGAGGCTCCCCAGTGCCTGCAGTGTGAACCCTGCTCCCACGGCTCAGAGCCCCCACGCCAGTCTCCGAAGGGCCCACTCACCAGCAGCTTCAGCATTTCCTTAGTATCTGGGTCAACCTCAATGATCTCCTGGTCGAGGGCAGAGACCTGCCGGGGGGAAAGGAAGAGGGAGGCACTTTGTCAGACACGACCTGCAGCGCCAGGTCCCAGCACGGCTCAGCCCCCACCCAGAGGCGGGAAGAAGCCGGAGTGGGTCCCTGCAAGTCCAGGGAGCGCTGGCTGTTCTCATGGCGCCAGCTTGGCGGGTCCAGCTGAACTGACCAGTCCCCAAGGGAAGGAAGGGTTTGAGGAGCACCGAGCTAAGCCGAGTGTTTCTTGTGCACCAAGGAGTTCAAACTGCCAGCTGCGCAGAGACCGGCCAGCACTGGGAACCCCTGCCCGGCATCCCAATGCTGAGGAGTCTCCACCCACCCCATAAATACTGTGGGGAGAGCTCTGTGATGTGCACAAAGAGCCCAGCCATACAACGCTGCAAGGGAGACGAGCACCATCTCTCAGCACTGACAGCCGCCCCCCCAACGCACAAGGGACCATCGCTGCTCTGGCTGTACCTAGGAGACCGCCCTCTCTGTTCCCATGGGGCAGCAAGCCAGCCAGCCAGCCAGCAGCAGAGCTCACCTCTCTACAGCCAAGCCACACTGTTCCTGCCCCAGTGCATGACAATGGGGGCTCTTTGCCCATGACACAGGAACCTGGGGCAGTACCTCCAGACTCAGCTCTGGACTTCACCAGCCTGCCGGCCGCCAGCAGCCACAGGAATCACCCTGCCAGCTCAGAACGAGGAAAAGCACAGTAGCCAGTCCAAGGCAACCCGAAAGAGCTTGAAAAGGCGCGGAAGGCAGAAGTCAACCTTTTGGTGCCCAGATGTCAATACGGCCTTTAAACCCTCAGAATGAATGGCATCCCTTTTAGAGAAAGGCCACCCCCACTTGGGTCCCGTGTTTCTCAGCCCTTGCCAGAATATCACATTCCTGCCAAGACGACTCATACTTAAAATATCCTCTGCCCTGAGACACAAGCGCCACGCTCCCATAGCTGCAACAGTCCCTCAGACACCAAGCTGACAAGCCAATAGCCCAGGCGTTCCAGCCACGCTCCCCCCTTTGCGGTTTGCACTCTGTAGGCAATGGGACCGGTTCCCCCAAGTCGTGAGGGTGCGATTTCTTCCCAAAGCCCTGGACACAAAGCAGCGGAGCGGCTGAACTTTGGCCCTGGTTTCACTGTAGCGTCTGTAAGCAGCTCTGCCCAAAGGAATCCCAGAGGGTCTTACAGAACACGACACTCACTGCCACAGGCACACAGGTGTTCTCTCCCCGCTCGGTGCCATAACGGGATGAGAGCTACATCAGGGCTCTCCTCCGTCAGCTGACACCAGCCAGTCCCGCCCTGGAAACTCACGTACCAAGTCACTAGCTGCATTAGTGTAGCAATCGGACATTCTGTGCCCAAAGGCAGGCAGAGTACGTACACCTTCCAGTGGCAGAGAGGGCCCTGGGAGGAGCTGAGATTTAGCATGGCTAGTCCTGTGTCTCTGGCATGCCAAGTTCTCAGAGCCGGCTAGAACTTCGAGGAAGGCAGACACCTCACGGGTAGATCCGAGAAAAGAAAGTGATTTGCCGGTAACTGCAGAGGAACTGACTCAATGACCCTGAGGCTCTCTCCATATATTCCTGTGATGGGACACATGGGTGGCAACAGAGGGAACTGGTCACATACTATCAGGAGGCAGGCCTCTTGCATCTACACGGTGCGTTACCCAGCCAGCACATCCTGGACTAGAACAGCAGCAACCCACACTCCCAGGGCAAGAAAGGATCTGCAAAGCCATAAGGCAGGAACAACCCCAGCCCACCCAGTGACATCACAGCCCCCATGACACTCACTGGCATCACACCTGTTTTTCATAATCCTTCTGGTGACAACAGAACTCCACACCAGTGGTTCTTTGGCCCGCGGGGGTTGGAGTGCGAGGCCTGGCTGAGAGCTAGGGTGCACAAGCGGACTGGGAAGGTTGGATGCAGGAGCGGGCTTATGGTGGGGGTGCTGGGAGGGAGGGTGCAGAAGCAGGCTGAGGAGAGAGAGGCCTAGGTGGGAGGGAAGGTACAGGAACAAGCTGGAGGGGGTCTGGGAGGGAGGGTGTAGGAATGGGCTGGAGGTACACGAGGGGGATGAACGTGAAGGGTTTGGGCATGAGGGAAATGGGGGCGTTTACCTGGGGTCCTGCACTTCCTGCCGCTCTTAGGCACCGCCCCCCTGCTGCTCCTATTCTGTGATTCTGGTCAATGGGAGCAACGGGGGAAGCCTCCAGGTGAGGGGTTTCCTGCACTGCCATTCCCCCAGCCGACTGCTCTACACACAATCCGCCACAGAACCCTGGGGTCACAGAGTGCCAAGCTGTGGGTGAACTGCACACTGAAGACAAGGCCTGAAGCTGGCTGGCTGCTCTCTCTGCCATTTCATAGCTCATGGTGCTGCTGGAAGCCAGATTCCAAGGCCACCTACCACACCCACCTTGTTGGGCTGGAGATGAGGGTGCGAGGCATGTCTGAAAGTTACAGGGTTTGGCAGGGATGGCCACCGAGCCCCCCAAACACAGGAAAACTTTCACCAGCTCCTCTTCCTGCAGGATCTATGACCTGGTCTTGCCTGTGGCCCGAGTCACTTTCGAATGCAGGTTCAGGATGAGAGCCCTTTAAACCCAGCAGGGGGCTAGGCCCTCAGATTGCTGGATGAATCACAGTGACACAAGGACAAGGACGCGACCTGCTCTCCCGAGGCTCGTCTAAGTGAGAGCTCAGGAAAGCCCACCCCCATTCTGGACTTTCCAAGGGTAAGTGCGGGAGTCTGTATGGCACTGGAATTCTTACACCCAGGGAGGCGTTTTGTCACCTTTTATGCTCAGAAAACAGGCCGAGGGTATTTGCCCCACAGCACAAATCAGCAGCACAGCTGAGATGAGACAGCAGGACTTCTTGGCCTCCTCTGGCCTTTGAGGACAAGTCACCCAGGACCCTTCTCCCAAGTGCCAGCCCGGGGTGATGTGTTCAGAAGGCGCTATTGGCAGCTACCACAGGCCATGCAGTCATGGTCATGTTCTCAGCAAAGGCGAGACCATGGCTGCTGGCGTGCTCAGCAGAAAGGAGGTCCCTCTGCTAGCCAGGCAGAAGCTGGAAAGCACAATGGCAGGACAAGCTGCTCTGCTTGGCAGAGCAACCCTGAGGTGCATCCCGGTCTGGCCAGAGACTTTACCTCAGGAACGTAGTTATCCCTCCTCTCTCTCTCCTCTTCTTGCAGTTTGATGGAGATACCTCTGACAGGCCCCCGCTGAATACGTTTCATCAGATGGGTGACATACCTGTGGGGAGAAGCCAGAAACTGATCAACTGGCACTCCGTTTCCTTCCACACTTTACCCATATTCAACAGCTCGACCCTTTGGCTGTACAACTCTGCGCCCCTAATACTGGGAGAAGTGAGGCATGAGACAGCTGTCTATCTGTCTCATGGTTGAGCCCCCCGCCCCATTTCACAGCCAGAGACCACAGTAACTCGGCTGTAGCAGCAGGCCTTCCTGTCCTGCCTCCTGGGAGTGGTGGAGGAAAGGAACAAGGATGTCTGAAAGTTACAGGATTTGGTAGGAATGAGGATGAGGCCTCCAAACACGGAAAAAGCTTTCACAAGTTCCTCTCCCTGCACTATCAATGACCAGGCCACAGACAAGACCATAGTCACTTTCGAATGCAGGTTTCAAAGCACTAAAAAGCCAAACACACATCGATCCTGAGCTAAGACTTTAAAATCTTTTAAAGCCAAACCATAATGAAAACAGCCACGCTAGAAAGGACCAACACTCAGCTAGAGCAGAGAAACAGACTCCAGTCAATCCGAAAGAGTCAGGACGTAAGGAAGGTTCTATGAGCACACTGCCATTAAGCAAGGGGTTCGCTGTAATTCGTAAGTACAGGTAAGCAACAATTTCGCCGGCCATCCAAAAGCCAACTGACAAGTTATCCAAAAGTGAAATGTTTTAAAGATGTAGGGATGCAAAAGGTTAACAGGTGATGCTTACCAGTTAACCGGTGGGGGCTGGAGCAGCTCCCCACAGGCTCCCCTGCACCCCTTTAATCAGTTAACCGATTAAACAGGATTTTACATCCCAATTAACTGCTGAGTAAGAACTAAAGAGCACGTGTTACTTATTCTACCAAATAAGGTAGTTCTCCTGATGCATAAATAGTCAGATATTTCTAAAATTATGATTGATCTAGTGGAAACTACCCTTCAAAATTCAGAACAATCTACAGCTTCCAAGCTCACTAGAGATGTATCCGCACGCCAAGAGCCTTACTCCATGGCCCCAGTGCCAGATCAAGGCATTGGGGCACTCAGATTTCAGATGCATTTACTGAGGTTATCAAAACAAACATCCTTGATGAACACCTGTGTAAGAGAATGAGAATCTCTTTTCATTCCTCAAGACTGAGAATGAAATTCACCCCAGAGCTAGGATGTGACAAATTACCCCCCGCCCCCCAAAAAAAAGGCCACCAAGTGTCCCGGCTGCTTTACCCAGCTATCTTGTTGCGCAGTTTCTTGCTGGGGATGATAGCAATTTCTTCGCACACCCGTTTGTTCGTGTGGAAGTCATTCCCCAGCCGGGTGTAGTACTTTTCAATGATGACCCGGGCGGCCTTTTTCACGGTCTTTGTTCGCACACGTCCCTAGGAGATTTGAAGAAGAACAAGTCACCACAGCATGAAACAGCCAAACCGATCCTTTTCTGCTGCCAGCTCAAAGCACTCCTGGTAAGCTCCTAAGGAGCCACTAGTGTTGCACAGGCTGTAACAAAAAGCAATTTCCTCCAGATAATTCAACCCACCAACCTGACCATGCAGCTCCTGGCACCCAAGCCTGCAGAGGAAGTGGATGGGACCCTAACATGCACGCTACGCCTGGCCTAACATACAGAGACTGTGTCTGAACACCGGGAAGACCATGGAACCCCAGTTCACCCTAAGGAGCCACTAGTGTTGCACAGGCTGTAACAAAAAGCAATTTCCTCCAGATAATTCAACCCACCAACCTGACCATGCAGCTCCTGGCACCCAAGCCTGCAGAGGAAGTGGATGGGACCCTAACATGCACGCTACGCCTGGCCTAACATACAGAGACTGTGTCTGAACACCGGGAAGACCATGGAACCCCAGTTCACCCTCAAGCCCCGAAATCTCCCCGTCAGTCAGCGATAGAGGAATATCCAGTGGCCCTGGACCGCCCCCACCCACTCTTGGCCAGGGTAAAGCTCATTCTGGGGA